AAAACCTATAAACAAGCATCTGGTGACCCAATGTGGCAGGAAGCTATGAATAAAGAAATAGCAGCTTTAGAAAAGACTAAAACCTGGTTTTTAACTGACCTGCCACATGGTAAACACCCTATAGGTTGTAAATGGGTTTATAAAATCAAGTATAAGGCTGATGGTTCAATAGAGAGATATAAGGCTAGATTGGTTGCAAAGGGCTATACTCAAGAAGAGGGTATAGATTACTTTGACACCTTTAGTCCAGTTGCAAAAATCACTACAGTCAGACTCTTAATTGCTTTAGCATCCATTCATAACTGGCATTTGCATCAATTAGATGTTAATAATGCATTCTTGCATGGTGACCTTGATGAGAAAGTATATATGACTCCTCCCCCTGGTTACTGTCTGAAAAATGACACTAGGGTTTGTAAGTTAACCAAAAGTCTTTATGGTTTAAAGCAAGCATCAAGACAATGGTTTTCCAAACTTACTCAGTGTCTACTTGACTATGGTTTCTCTCAATCTGTGGCTGACTGTTCCTTGTTCATTAAGAAATCACAGAATTCTTTTCTTGCTTTACTTGTCTATGTGGATGATGTCATTTTAGCTGGTAACAATCTTTCTGAAATCACTGCCATAAAAACCCATTTGGATAACTGCTTCACTATTAAAGACTTAGGCAAACTTAGATATATATTAGGCCTGGAAGTTGCTCAGTCTCATACAGGCATTAATATATGTCAAAGAAAATATGCCCTAGATATTTTAAATGATACTGGGTATTTGGGCAGTAAACCTGTTTCAACTCCAATGGATGCTAACCTTAAATTGACATCATCTAACAACAATGATCCCTTGGTTGATGCCACTGCTTACAGAAGGTTGATTGGTAGGTTGCTTTATTTAACTATCACTAGACCTGACATCTCTTATAGTGTGCAAAGTCTTAGTCAATTCATGGTTCAACCCACCCAGCAACATCTCACTGCAGCTCACAGGATATTAAGGTACCTCAAACAAACAGCTGGCCAAGGTATATTCTATCCCAGATCATCTTCTTTATGCCTTACTGGTTATAGTGATTCTGATTGGGCTGGTTGCATTGATACAAGGAGAAGTGTTTCTGGTTTTGCTTTTTTCTTAGGCAACTCTTTAATTTTTTGGAAATCCAAAAAGCAAGCCACAGTTAGCAAATCCTCAGCTGAGGCTGAGTATAGAGCACTTGCTCATGCTACCTGTGAAGCTCAGTGGCTTTTATACTTACTAAATGATTTCAACATTTCTCATGACTCTCCTGTTTGCATTTTTTCAGACAGTAAATCTGCTATATCCATTGCTACTAACCCAGTTTTTCATGAGAGGACAAAGCATATTGAATTGGATTGCCACCTAATAAGAGAAAAGATCAACCAAGGCACAGTCTCCCTTGCTCACATACCATCCAAGGATCAACTGGCAGACATTTTCACAAAACCACTTTGTTCTCCACTTTTTTTAACTTTATGTTCCAAGATGAACTTGAAAAACATTCATGTTCATCTTGAGGGGGGGTAATAGAATATGTACAAGTTATAAAGCTTTCAGTACAAGTCATATTGTAAATACCATTGATATTCCTTTTAGGTTTAGGTTATTTTGTCTATTTGGCCCAAGTATATAAGGGCATGTACAGTGAACACAGCCGAATTATTCATTCATTTTGAGTTTTCTGATTTCTGTTCATCTTCTCCTCTTTCTCTCAATATTCTCTCATTTTGGTTCATCAGAATATTAACAAACAGGGTCGATGAACTCGCCGGAAAACGGCGACAGGAATTTTACGCGGCGATTGAATTTTTATTCTTTTTTTTTTCAACTGAACGCTGCGAAATATAGCTGCTAGATGAGAGGAACGAAGAACGACTTATCTGATTAATAGATGCGAGAATGAGTCGAAAGTGAGGAAAATCTCACGAACAAATCGGAACAAAATTTTTGAATTGTTGATAAGGAGCGACTTGGTCACGCGGAGGAGAAAGGGAGAAAGGAATTTGCCGATTGAATTCTAACGGGCAAGGTGATATAAGTGATTTGGGCCGAAACCATTTAATACATTGGGCCAGGATTTATTAGCAAGGAATTGGGCCATTTAATTCACATAGCAAAATGGGCTAGAATATAAATTTGATAACACGGTTCAGCTCTTGGGCCCGACTTCATAGCGATAATACGGTTGTTACTCGAGCTTGATAGGTTAAATCTGATCAGCTCGCAAATTAAATAGCACAATAAATACATAACCGGATATAATATATTTTTATAATACACACAATTTAGACTTTAAGAAAATAATGATAATATTAGTAAAAATACAATTACATATTTTTAATTAAATAATAACATTTAGACAATTTGACAAATAAATCACATTCGACAATTAATAATTTAGTATTCAATAAATAATAATAATAACAATTAAATAATAATAATAATAATAATAATAATAATAATAATAATAATAATAATAATAATAATAATGAAAATCCCCAAAAATTCCAAAGTCAAACGGGGCATTACACTTTCCCTCCAAAATCGGTTACAAAACATTTAATTTATTTATTTTTCTTTACTCATCTCAATTGTGTAACGTTTTTCTATCACCTCTTCCCCATCAATCACATTATGTAACAATCGTAATTTGATCTGATGTGGAAGAATTCATACTTATTTCCTTTCAAATTTCATTTATCTTTGATTACATAATATGCAATAATCCAGATTCTAAAATGATGTAATGCTCATTCTTCGATATGATCTGATAGGATTCAGGCCTATTTCCTTTTCACTTTACNCCTACAAGAAAAAACAATATATTTAATTGTATAAATCATTAATAATGAATTATATTATAAACACCAATATATCTCATTATCATGTTGCCATATTCAAATTTTATATATTTTTTCTTATTCTCAATCCAAATGTTATGGTGCAATATTTTGAACATGATATGAGATATATTGGTGTTTGAAATATAATTCATTATTAATGATTTATACAATTAGATATATTGTTTTTTTAAATTAAATTATGATTTATTATTTTTGTTTTTCTTATTTTCTTATTTTATTTTCTATGAATTTGTATCTGTGCAAATGCACCGGTTGATTACTAGTATATATAATTACTAGCTGATGCATTTAATAAAACATTTAATAAAACCTATTTTCATTTCCCTCCAAAAGAAGTTATACTTTTTTAATTAATTTAATTACTCACTAATCTGTTAAAACCGTTACACCTTAATATATGTTTTTATTATTTATTTTTTGGATCAGTTACTAAATTAATTCTAAATTTGGTAATAAAATATTCAAATGTGTAACGGCTAATGTTGGAACTTAAAGTTGATTGGCACATTCAGAGTTGTAACCGCTATATTTGGTTGCATTGTTGGAAGAAAAATATGATTGACACATTTTTTTTTTTCTAAAAATCAGAAACACCAATAATTTTTTTTTATTTATGTTAATTTTCTTAATATATGCCACAAATATATAAATTATTTTATTCATGTTACTAATGTAAACGTTGCATAGTTAAAATAAAATTTAAATCTCAATTAATTTTGAATGATAAAAATAACTTTAAGAAAAAGAAATAATCTATACTTATATTAAAAGGTATCTCATTTACCAGATTTAGTATAAAGAAAAGTCAAAAGTAATTAGTGTTTGCTGGAAATAGAATGACATTAATTACAAATTTGTTTTGGTATTTATAGTTTGACATTAAAGATTTGTTATGGGATTAAATCAGAACCGATTTTTTTACCTTTGCTGGAAAAGTCAAATATAAGTATAGATTTGTTTTATTCCATAACATTGGTTTAATTAAAATAATCTCATAAAATCGGTTTTAATGTCAAGCCTATAAATAAAGATTTAATCGGTTTTAATAAAGCAGATTTAATCGGTTTTAATAATTGCATAGAATTTCAAAGCTGTTATTTATTGTAAAAAATTAAATTCTAAAAAAACATTTGTGTATATTTTGTAAAATGTTTGTACAAAATGTTTTACCTTAAATTTATTTACATAATTTAAATTAGTTACATTAATAAATAATATGAACATACATTAAATATTTTAATTACATGAAACAAAAAGAAGAAGAAGATTACATCTATAACGTATAATAATAATGACATTATACTACAATAAATTTTATAATGAAATAATATAAGTATTATACGAGGAACAAGATTACGTAAAATTGTTATTTTTCTTATATATATATAATGAAATCAAATTTGTATTATTATAAACATGTGAACGAGATAATATATTAATTAATTTACGGGCTAGCGCTACCAGACTTAGGTTTAATGTTCCGACAAAAAAAATGACGTTGATGAAAAAATGTAAAAAGACAGATGATCAAACTCTATTATTTTTTAAGCCTGAACGGACAAGCCCTATGGTCCACTCATTTAATATCTATCGTGAATCGCACGTGTTACTTAACGGACAAGTTTTGTGGAAATAACTCATTAATACTTATGTCTCGTGCATCGCACAGACTACGTGCTAATTTTTATATTATAAAAGTATATGTGTCATTAATAAATACAAACAAAAATGAGTTTTATATATATATGTGCAAATGCATGCGATCAAATGGTAGTTTTGACAAAAGGGAAAACCCATGGGCAGTGCAAACGAATAAAACAACGGAAAGAGGGTAAAAAACAGAAGAGAAAATGAACCACGGCCGATTTCTAGTTTGATTCTTTCTCTCTCTACCCCACACAAAATTGCTGCTGCTTTAAAACCTTTGCGCTTTAATTTGTTTCGCCCCACCACATCACATACTTTTCCTTTGTTGCTTGTAAGCAAAAACATTTTTATGCTTCAATTTATTTCTTTTATTTTTATATTTTCTTTGGATTGGGAAAGCGAGTAAAAACAAACTGTTTTCCGGTGGGAAAAATAGAAGGGATAAAGGGAAGATCTTGATTGCCTAAATCTGTTATGGAGCAGCTTGTCAACTTCATTATAAGACCACCCAGGTGAGAAAAAGATGTTCCCTTTTATTGTTTATATATATATATATGGTTCCTTTTTGTTTTCCTTTTCCCTTTTTTCGTTTCCCCCATTTTAGATGCAATTTGAATATTAGGGTTGTTGAAGCTAGAATCTTGGTTATATTTCTGAGATGGACTTTCATTATATCCCTGTAGGTTGTAATTTCGTTTCAGTTAACTGAGTTTCTATGAAAAATTAGAACTTTGTGGGTTTTTGTCTGATGATTTCTTTTGGATTTTCTTGTACTGTTTTTGGTTTGGTGCCTTTTGAGACCAGTTTCTGATAAAATTCTGTCTGTTGTTAGTTTAGTTAACTGAATTTTTATGTAAATCTCTATTGGGTTATTTGAATTCCTTTTTATTTTTATTTTATATGGGATACATGACTTAAAGTTGTTATTTGAGTTCTGATACTCCTGATGATGCTGAACTTTCTATTTTTATTTATTTCTCGTCTGCATTTTATTTTGGTGAGCGAAGAACTTGTGTGCCAAGGAAGAGAAAATATCTTATGCAACATCAAAATCCCTTTTTTATGTTGAGCAACAACTTTATGGAAAGTTGGTGACAGCAATTCCGGTTGTGCTGGCAAAGTTATTTTAAGTTTGATGAAACACGTGCAATCACAAAAAGTTATATATATTCCCTTTCATACTTAAATGGTCAATGTCGTTGGGCATTTGACACGTTGATCACGTGATTGATAAATACGCTGTGCATACCGGTGCTATAAAGGCCATTATATTAATTTATCGTTTGTGTTGATACTTGTTGATCTACTGCCATGATTTGCTCGAAGTATCTGAATGCACGTCATTGTTGATGACAGCAGAATATATCCAACGTTTTGAAATTCTTGAATTTGCAGAGCTGAGTACAATCCGAAAAATGATTTGTTAGATGAAGAATTTGTGTTAAAAGGCAAGTGGTACCAGAGGAAAGATTTAGAGGTAAGAGTTAATTTACGACGATCTTTGGGTCTACATTTCTCACTGTCTCTCACAACACACAGAAAATGTAGTTGCAAGTTGATGACATGAAATAGATATTCCGTACACCCCTTGATTATTACATTTTGCATTTTCCGAAACCTTCTGCTTGAACTTATGTTCGATGGTTGCAAGACTTGTGGTTTCGGATCCTTTCAGATGTTCAACTGAGTTTCAAACCTATCTACCTCATCGTACACTTAAAAGAACAATAAAGTTTTTCAAACATGCTTACTATTATTTTACTGAAAGAAGCGATTATTGATTCCCAATCCTGCAAATGGAGTTATTTCATGAATCATTTTGTTTGCGGTTATCTGGAAGTTTTCCTTTTGTCCCCTTCATCCTGCAGGTTGTAAATAGTCGTGGGGATACTCTACAGTGTAGCCATTACATGCCTATTGTTCGTCCTGAAGGAAATCCACTGCCCTGTGTGATTTACTGCCATGGAAATAGGTTTGTAATTCTGATTACGGAAATAAATGCAATTCTTGAAGTCTTTTTATTAATCACTATTCTGTTGATATATTATTTAATTGCATTTTAGGTTTGCTTAAGTTGATGCAATTAATAATGTTTGTATGCCAATATCTATTCGTTTTACTTAAACACGACCGATTGAACTGAAAAGATAGTTAATCGTCGATTATGGATTTTTATATTTTCTTTCTCGTTTTACCCATGAGTGTGGCTTCCGGAACGGGTTTACTTAGATCCGTGGTTTGTTTTCTGTTAGAGTTTTTCCTTCGATTATTAAGAGAAATTATTTTCTCAGAGTTCTGATCCCTAGTTTAGCTCAGGTATCTCTAAAAAGGAGAGGAAAGTTTTCCTACTGGTGTTGCATTAAGTCAAAATTGGAACTGATAATTCACGTCATAGGAATCAGAAAATTTAGACTGGAGATCATCAGATTTACTAAGACCAGAGGATACTAGTGGATAAGAATTCAATGTGGAATCTTTCCGTGGATAAATACAGAAGTTGTTTTATGATTGGTATTAATCTTACCTTGTACACACATCTTATCTTATACTACAGAAGATAGTCACCTATCATGGGATAAATTTCATATTCAGAACTAACCAACATGTGAACCCTATGGTCGAAAATTGTTCTAATTATTTTCTCTCAAGGATTTTCAGACGCACTACTTAAAAGAGTCATATTCATGTAATCCATCTGATTGAGAGAGAGAGAGTAATTTATGTGGTGCTTTTATAGTGGTTGATTGCTCTCATGCGCCTACACACGTCTGAATTGGTTCTTTTTATTTTTCTTTTAAATATTTGAACTGTCATTCCGAAGAATATAGTATTTACCGAAGGTTTTCATATAAGGAATATGTGTAGTGTCAATCTGGTTTCTAAGTAGTGGCTGCACAAATAGTTCCAAAATCCTAGCCCTGTGGGAAACTTCGAGAGCAGATATGGTTGGAAAATAGTTTTTTTTTTGAGCATGCAGAAATTTCTGTTACATGAAGGAAAAATGTATATTGTCATATGCCATTACTTATTAGCTCTTATCTTTGATCTCCTTTTAGTGGTTGCCGAACAGATGCTAGTGAAGCTGCTATTATATTGCTGCCATCAAATATAACCGTTTTTACCCTTGATTTCTCTGGCTCGGGACTATCTGGAGGAGAGCATGTCACCTTGGGCTGGAATGAAGTATGCTTGCTTCCTCAGTAACTCATATGGTCATACCATGTCTCATATTGAACGAAGTAGTGAAGTGCCAATTTAATGGTGATCAGACAATATTTTACATTGGAAATAACATAAACCTAAAAAAAATATATTTTTTCCTTTTTTAGGCGAGTTCATAGAAGAGATGCAAAATGATTTGTTGTTTGTTTGAATTTTATTTTTATTTATTGTTGTCTCTTTGTTTCTGGTTTTATTTGCTAGATATCCATGCAATGTACATCAAATGGTACAAGGTTCATCTAAATCGACTTGTATACAATAATCGTCATTTACTGTGAGATTTGGTGTTTGTTTTGCAGAAGGATGATCTGAAAGCTGTCGTTGATTACCTTCGTGCAGATGGGAACATTTCCTTAATTGGTTTATGGGGCCGCTCTATGGGTGCTGTTACCAGGTTAGTGATTTGTTTTTCCCTTTGTTGCCTCAATACGGGTGAATTGGATTTCTTGCTCATGTAATTCAACTCCAGAGTCAGTTTATTTTGCTTGTGGCTTTTTCGCTACATTTAAACAGTTTTTGCACTTCTCCATTTTTGTCTCTGTTTCTTCCCGTTGTCTTTCCTTTTCCTTCTTGTTTGTTCATTTTCTTTTCTGACTTTTTATTTAGTGTGAGCTACTGATCTCTATTTTGCGTTAGAAACTAAGTTCTTGTGAAAGGCAAGACAATGACTCAAACAACCATGAACATTTTTCCTGTAGAACACCTTATATTCTTGGATTTGTTCATTTATGTGCAAGGAGTTATTGGTCATGTGCTTTCATGTTCTATTAAAATTGTAGCCCATTTGATTGTGTATTTATGATACATCTGTGACACACACACACACACAGTGCAAATTATCTGAGAAAAAGTGCATGCAAACTTTCCAATGTATTGCAATTCTCTTCAGTATTTTTCAATAAGCTTTATCTTTCAGCTTGATGTACGGAGCTGAAGACCCTTCAATAGCGGGAATGGTGTTGGACAGCCCCTTCTCCGATTTGGTTGACTTAATGATGGAACTTGTTGATACTTACAAAGTCCGCATTCCTAAATTCACTGTAAGTTGACCAGCTTATCATGCTTGACGTGAAATGCCCATGCCAATGTTATGAAGACAGAAGCCATGTTGTTTTTCCTTAAATACATCTTAAATAAAAGCTTCTTCTTCTTCTTCTTCTTCTTCTTCCCTTTTGACATTTTTGCCCATTTATTTGTAGGTTAAGTTTGCTATCCAGTATATGCGGAGAGCAATTCAGAAAAAGGCAAAATTTGACATAACGGATCTGAATGCTATCAAGGTTCACAGCCTTAACACTCATCTCAGATTGTCATTTCTTCTATCAAATCCTCTTAACACACTGTATATTTCCTATGAGATATATATAGGCAAAATTTGACATAACGGATCTGAATGCTATCAAGGTTCACAGCCTTAACACTCATCTCAGATTGTCATTTCTTCTATCAAATCCTCTTAACACACTGTATATTTCCTATGAGATATATATTCTTCCTTAGATTCCTATAGATATTCTTTGATATAATAGTATGTCCTTAAACTTAATTGAGTAGCAATCCCAGAATTTTGTGACATCATATTTACTAGAAAAAAAGGAATTAACCTGGAAGTTCAAGTTTTTGATTTAGCGAAAGGAAACATTCAGTATTTGGTGGTTTTACTGGTTATTCATTCATTTTAATGATCATAAGTTGTACAATTGTTTTCAGGTTGCAAAGTCTTGCTTTGTTCCAGTTTTATTTGGCCATGCCACTGATGATGATTTCATACAACCACACCACTCTGATCGCATATTTGATGCTTATGTGGTATTCTATCATGCTATAATCTTTTCAATTTTGGTTTTCATGTAATTTCTTTTTTAATGTGCTTTGTGCTTCTATACGTCCATTCCATTGTTGTCTGTTGTCTTCGCTTGTTCCAGGCCCTTGTTTTTTTAATTTGAGTAAAAATCCGTTTCACTGGTGTCAAATTTTTTACGTATGATGTTGCAGGGTGACAAGAATATAATCAAATTTGAGGGTGACCACAACTCTCCCCGCCCTCAATTTTATTTTGATTCTATAAGTATATTCTTCAACAATGTGTTACGCCCTCCAGAGGATGAAGTAGGGAGTGCATATTTTGACTTAACTCATGACTATGTTCCAAAGGTAAAAAATCTTATCTGTACATTACCATAAAATAAAATAAAATACTCTTAAGGTTTATACTATTTGAAAATGAAAGAGTATTTCAAAATAACAAACTCCCTTAGAAGAGTTATGGATAGCACATCGAGGTTTGGATTTGCATAGAAAATACCTGCCAGTTGGGTGTGTAATTAGTGCAATTAAAAGTAAAGATAATGGGGTATTGTTATTTAACCAGGCTCGACCTGAAATATATTTCGTTATTAAACCTTGTTTTATTTTTTGTAACTTCCGTTTCTAAGAAAGCATAATCGCCGTACAACTTGCAGGGTAGTTGGAGTAATATCCAAGATTTGGAGATTTCGGATGACTTACTGGATTCACCCACCGGTGGGTTATTTTTATTTTGGGTTTTATTCACAAATTCTTTTGTACTGATTAAACTTGTTTATGTGAAACTGCAATTACGGGTGGTTTGTCAAACTCAGGTCCGGAAACTAGCAGTAGCACCGAGGATGCTATCAGGAAACTTCGCTCCAGAAGGCCTATGAGTATGATGGTGGTAAGACTAGTCTT